TTCATTCATTCATTCGTTCATCCATCCATCCATCCCACAGTGCAGAACTGTCAGGTGCTCAGCAGTCAGCGTCATAGCACTGAGGAGGGACGGGTTCTGGAATTTCCCAGAGTCCCAACTGAATATAATTTCTTTCTTTCTTTTTCTTTTCTTTTTTCTTCTTTTTTTGAGACAGCGTCTCGCTCTGTTGCCTGGGCTAGAGTGCCATGGCGTCATCGTAGCTCACAGCAACCTCAAACTCCTGGCCTCAAGCAATCCTCCCACCTCAACCTCCCAAAATGCTAGGATTACAGCCACCGCACCCAGCCGTAACTTCATTTTTTAAGTAAAGTTTGATGTTTCAATAACTCCCTCGGTGGCCTTGATTTTTTAAACCTTTCTGTGAATTCACAGAGTCTACAGGTTCTGGTCTCTGCCTCCAGCGCACAGGGCTGAGGCAGGCGCGACCCTGTGTGAATGGAAGGCACTGCTGGCTCGGCACGCAGGCGGGCCGCGCGGTCCAGGCAAGAGCCGGCCTTAGGAAAAGGGAACCTGAGTGGCTGGGGTCTCAAAAGGGCCCAGGCCCTGGGGCGCTGGTTCATAGGCTGTACCCTCACAAGAGACCAGTTTCTAAACACAGAACGCCAATTATTTACTCACGCTGAGAAATATAACTGTCATGAGGACCAGAGCCGCCTCCTGGCTGGGCCTCGGTGCACGTCCTGCAGGCTGGTCCACGTGGGAAGGGGAATCGCAGCTGGAAGCTCAGGCAGAAGTCAGACCGGAGGGAGGCCCTTGGCGCTGCATCTGCGTCACGCTCCACTGAGGGAAACGCCGGCGTGAAGACGACAGCGGTGCCGGGGCTGTGGCCGCAGTGGGGCTGTTCGCCCCTCTTTTTGACTCCGGCAGCTGAACCTCTTCTTACGCCTAGGACCCCTCCCCACCTTTATTAAGCAGAAAGTCTGCCTCCTTTTGCAGAAATGCAAAATACCAGGTATCCGCTTTTCCATACTCCTTTGTGGCGTGGCTGCAGTACGTGCCCCTGGCCACGCCGGAGGAGCACAGCACCCAGGGCTCAAGAAGGAGGCTGGGCATGGGAGAAGCCTCCATCCTGGTGACAGGTGTGGCCGTGACCATGTCCAGTCTCCAAAGGCAGCCATTCTAACAACAGCATCCAGCAGCTCCCCAGCATCTGGCCCTGCCTGCTGTGCAAACCAGAGGGGCTGGGACCATTTAGGGGTGCCAGTGGCACCCTCTGGAACTAGCTCTGCAGTGGAATTTCAGATGCTGCTCCTGGTCTTTTGCCTCTGCTACCTGGTGTCCTTTAATAAATTCCATTTCTGCTCACATCCACCCAAGTCATTCTCTGCAACTTGCAAATAAGAACCCTGCCTGGTAGATGACCATTGGCACTGCCACCTGTCAGTGGTCCAGAGTCACACAGCTGGTGAGTGGCACACCAGGGATGAGTCCCAAGCTTGCTGCCCTGCTCTGCCTGCCCCACGGTCTGCCCAGGGAGTCCTAGATGGGAGCCTGTGAGTCCCACAGAGGAGGGGCCCATGCTGCCAGGTGTGGCGGCCAGAACAGGCATCTTGAAGATGGTGGGCCATAGGTGAGTAAACTCTAAATGGGCTGAGAGCAAAGAGGGCAGTTTTATGGGGCAGAAATGTTATAGCAAGCATGACACTTTGGGCAGTAGAACTAGGAATGGTTTGGGTGCATGAACGTGGCCCCCATGCCAGTGTGTCAACCCCTCCCCCACAGCCCCTGGCTCTGAGCTGACAGCAAGAGGGATCAGAAAAAATGAGCACTTGGCAACAATTAATTGCGAAGATGCAAAGAAAAATTGTTTTGAATATTAAAATTATAGATATAATGCTATTAGGAGCATGATTCAGAGTTTATGAAAACATTATTTATATTGATTTATTCCCAGAGCCATCAAGACTCCTTGAAAATAATTAAAGTTGACATTTCCATTGCTGAAGCTAAATGTTGATATCATATAATGAAAATTATATGCTTGGGATGGGCTGTGCTCTAGAAAGCATTAAAACAAACACCAGCACGTACAGACCCTCCCCCCACCCCTGTTATTAGCAGCCCAGGCACACTGGCAGGCCTCTGGACCCTTCCTCCCCATGCGCCACCCCAGCCCTACAGACATCGGCCACTCTGGGGACTCTCAGGGACCCCAAGGTCCAGCACCCCAGGGCAAGGATAGAGCTCAGCCAGGGCACTGAGACGGGATGCCAGTTCAGCCGGGTCCTGGGGCAGTGACTAAGCTGCTGAGTTGCTGCTGGTCTTGCCGCCCCCACCAAGGCCAATGGCAAGAAGAAAGGAAGGGAAGGAGAAGGGAGCGAGGGAGAGGAGTGGGAAAGAGAGGAAGAAGGAAGGGAGGTCTTCCTCTGTGCCTTGGGAAATTCCCTACACTATGTGACCACAAAGCTATGACCACAAAGCTGTGGCCCCCGGGCTGGCAGCAAGATGCCAGTCTCCCCTTTTATTGAGGCACTGCCTGGCCAATCAGGTCTCCATTGGCCGATGGCTTTTTAAGAGCGAGTTGTCTCCTCTCAGGGAGCTGCACCCTCTGCTCTCACCTCTGCCCTCATTTCTCCACCACACATGGGACAGTTGGCTTCTCATGTTCACCCTTAAAAACCCTGGGGGCCAGAGGGAAGATGCTCAAAGATGGTCATTTCAAACAGCAAGATAAGGACCCACTGGTGGGTAGTGAAATCAATTTCATGGGGTGCGACCAGCATTACAGAAAAAAAATCGAGTAAAACATATCCAAGTCTATGACAAGCAGGGAAGGGTAAGTTTCTATGAAACCTTATTTAAGTAAGTTATGTGTATGAATGTATGGGGCCAATGTAATATTTGTTTTTCAAAACAATTTGAAGCTTATTTGTTGCTCTAGAGTTTGGTCTGATTTTAATGTTTTCACATCAGTTCCTTAAGTGGTGGTGGTAGGGTGGGTATGTTCAGCCTATTATCCCTGTTAATTTCTACTTTGACTCCAGATGTGTTCCTGAGGGCCAGGGATGGAATGGGAGAGGGAACATGGAACCAGGCTAAACTACATGCACACACACACACACACACACACACACACACACACACACTCACTCACACACTCACAGATCAGCAGGACTCAGAATTTGTGATTTGTCTACATCTTTTCTATGTGCATTTATTTGCCCTGCACAATCCCTGAAGGAAAAGGTAGTCAAGGGAACGACCCAGGCACCTGGTTTTGTACCCATCAAAGCCTGCAAACAAGTAAGCCACCTGGGACAGGCTGTCTGTCATGGGAACTGCCCTATAGCAGCACGTGCTCCAGGTTGCTGCTCTGGAGTTAGTAGACCCCATGGCTGCTGGGGTCACCTGCAGGCCTTTGGGTAGAGCAGGAGCCATCCCTGTGCAATGCTGCATGCACGCATCCTTTTTTCAACAGATCTGAAGCACCTATTGTGTCCCAGGCTGGGGATTAAGGGCTGGGGATTTTGCGACATTACAGCCATGCTCTGGCCTTCGGTGCCTCCTCTCACGGGAGAGCGTGGCCAGGCAACCATGACAACACTGGGTCCTACGTGTAATTAAGGCAGCTGTGGGCATCCCAGAGGAGGGGGGGAAGGGTGCAAGGGCATTCCTGGCAAAGGACAGCACATGACACAAAGGCACAGAAGGCCCAGGGACTTATGAGAGGACTCCTGGCTGACAGGAGGCCTCAGGAATCCACAGTGGGGCTTAAACCTACAAGAGCTGTGGGATGCTCTTGAAAGGAGAGGGTGGCTCTCCTGGAGGGGCAGAGGGAGGGGACAAGCGATCTCAGAGGGAACAGCTGCGCTACACTTTGAGAGGCTTTGGTGGCTCACAGGTAGCTGGTGAGAACAGCCATCTGGGAGGTGCGCAGACTCGTGGATCAAGTTGTTAGGTAGACAGCAAGGGACTCTAGGTGTCCCAAGGATGAAAGTGGGGGCTTTGGCTTGGAGCAATTGCCCCACCCGGGAAGAAGGACAAGGGTGGGCCCCAGGCCCCCATCTTGGTCCTGCCCCTCCTTAATCTTTTCCCAAGCGACTGCCATGCCTGGGGGAGGAGGGAACACCCTATGACTCGGCCGGCCATAACTTAGCGCACCAGCTGCGAAGGAATGCAGAGGACTCTAGCCCACGGGGCGGGCAGCATTAGGTATGATAGAGTCCAGAAAGCGACTTAGAACCCACATGCATAAAACTCAGGCCATGCAACTCCCAATTATTCAATCAAAGTGGTTCCATGGTGACGTCTGAGCCACAGGGAGGTCCAATCTGGGCATTATAAAACAAGACTGAGACCATAACCAATACCCCCTCTTTTTTTGCCCCTTTCTTTGCTGCGGCAATGGGTCCAGTCATCTGTGGCATGTGTATCACACTCTGTAAACGTATATCTTGCTCTTGCTCTATAATCCTCTTTCTCTCCTCAATAAACCTCATTTTCCTGCTTGTCTTACTTTGGTGCGTCTGGTCATTCTTCTGCCATGAGCATACCAAGAGCCGACATTTCAGAGAGAAACCTGACAAAATCCCTACACTCAATTAGGAGTTCTACATGAATAGAGGCGCCCCTCCCGAGGGCCAGGCTGTGTAGGAGCCCACCGAGGGGAGACCTGACCCTCCTCAGAGTGCCTTAGTCCCTCCTGAGGTCTCCTTATCTCCAAGCACTCCAAACCCGCCCTTGGGTGTGGGGGCCACAGTCTGCTCTCCACGCTCGGCCGCCAACCGGGCAGACGGGCAGCAGGCTGACAGGAGGATGGTAGGTTCTCCTGGTGCCGTTTTTCATGGACGCAGAGGCAATACAGGCTGCCAGAAAGGCCTTTCCCTAGGATTCTGGCCCTTCCCTGAACCACTCCCACCCCCAGACAGAAGGAGAGGCCCAGAGGGGGTGAACCCTAGAGTGGTCTCTGGGCATTCATGGTGAACATGGGTTCTCCCTCAAGTTCTCCTCTCTCCCTGGGGAAACCCACATTACCCCCCCCCCCGCTGGGACACATGACCTGGGCTGTACAGAGATTGGATCTGGAGCAGTCATGTGACCTGTGTCTGTCCAATGGGAATGGCTTAAGACATTGGCTAGGAATGCCGGGACTAAGACCCTCGTCCCTGCTGGGCAAGAACTTGGCAGCGTACATCCCCTAAATGGTATCAGCGTTGGAAACCAAACTGTGGAGGACACAGGGAACTGTGGAAAGAATCCCTGATGCTGAGCCCCTCTGCAGCCCAGGGGAGGCTTGCTGCTCTGTGGTGAATCTGAAGTCTATTTCCATTGCTCTGGGCCCAGGCAACAGGGCTTTCCGAATTTGAGACCATGAGTGTAAATCTCTGTGTACCCCCATCTGCTCCAAGGATGGGGCAGGGGAGCTGCCCAAGCAAGATTGCTTCCTTGGCTGCTGCCAGCCCTAGTCTAGCCGCCAGGTAGGGCAGCCCCGCCAGGGGCGGGGTGCTGGCAGTAGCTGGAGCATAATGAGGAAATGGCCAGGAGCACCCTAACCTCCTTGAGGAAACCCCACACAAAAGATATGGGAGAGCCCTGCACCAGGGCTCAGGGGGCCTGGGTTCCAGTCTCGGCTCTGCTCTAACTCACTGTGGCCTTGTATAAGTTCCTTCCCTCTCCTTCTCAGGGAAAGACTTAGGGCCAAATCACGGGCATCTTTGCACATTGACATCTTGGGCAATGTTAATAAAGTTCATATGAAAAAGTTCTGAGTTCGTATTAGTTTGGGAAACACTGAGTTTTTGTTAAGTTTTCTACAGGACTTGTTAGTACATTTAATATGGTAAGTAACGTGTCAGTGAATTTCAAGGTGGGAGACAGAATATGCATTATTTTCTCAAACTTTTTGGTCATGGAACACCTTTTTTGTTATAGTGTTCCTTGGAACACATTTCGGAAAGCACCAGATGGGAATCCTCATGTGGCCAGTCTGCCTGTTCCATCCTCAAGGAAGAAAGGGAATGGCCATGGCTGTCAGTGACAGCTGCTTCCCATCGCCCGCGCTTGCGCGCCCGGCAGGTGGAGGCTGCTCTGCGAGAGCCGGCGCCGGGAGCAGCCCTGCAGGCCCAGACTCACCTGCTCAACACTGCTGGCCCCAGCAACTGGCCTGGAGGTAGGTATGCGGCCTCAGTTTATACAAGCAGAGCCAAGGCCAGACTGCCTGACTGGGGACTCCCTGTAGTTGCTGGCACCCGTCGTGGGATCCCCAGAGCAGAGGGGAAAGAGCACAGCCTACAGGACACTGTGGAGCTCCCGCAGCAACCTTTGCCTGGAGACCACTTGCCTTCCAGGCTTTTCCCGTATGACCTGGTCCTTTTTCCTTTTAAGCCAGTCCGTGGTGGGTTTTGTGGCTCTCACAGTGGGAAGTAGACAGCACGTGACCTCACCCATTCTGCACCCAGGGCTAGAAGTCCTTGGCGTGAAGAACCTGGCCTGGGCTACCAGGGTAGGGGCAGAGACATCGCCACGGGGGAACACGGTCCTGGCCCACCAGGGACCTCACAGCCTGTTTGGTGAGGGTTTGTGGGAGGGTGTAGCCTTGACAATGTACCGAGAATTTGAGAATTCTAATTTCACGTTAAAGTGTCGCTGAGAAAGCGTCCCCCCATCTGACTCGTTCTGTCCCCTGGCTAGATGTTTGATGATGACAATGACGATGATGACAAGTAGCGCACACTGAGCACCTACCCTGTGCCAAGCCTGTGCCCAGCACATCCGCGTGCTAACTCATAGCACCGCCTTCACAACAATCCCTGGGGCAGGCACAGTCACAGTCCATGCCCTACGTATGAGGAAACTGAGACTCAGGATGAGACTGGCCCCGCACCCTACAGCCGGTCCGTGGCATGGCCAGGCCCTGACTTCAGGGGCAGCAGCCTGGGACTGCGCGAAGTCTCGAGTGGCTCTGGGCCACCTTCGCTCCCGTCCTGGCTGTGCTGCCCCTAACATCTCCTCATCAGAGATCACAGCCTTGGTGTCAACAGGCTATTTTCTTAAAAATATTGCTGGAAAAGTGGCACTGGTGGCGAATGTGTTCCTAGGAGTGCCCACAAGCCCAGCCCCCCCCCCCGGCCCAGCCCTGTCCCTGCCCCATCCTTCTAGCCAGGCCTCCAAGTGGCCTTTGGGAATTAGGCCAATGAACCTGAGACCCGTGCAGAGGCTCTGTGGTTTTTTACTCCCTCTCACTCTCCTGGCAGCCTGTGCCCGTTCTCAGAGGGCTCCCATGAATGCTCTGCGCTTGGCAGCAGACTGCGCTCCACCCCCAGGGAGCTGGCTCTTTCCCAGGTGGGTGCCACCACCTCCTGCCTCTTATAAGGACATCACCCTTGCTCAGCACCACCCTGGGCTCGGCAGAGCTCTTTGCTCTGAGCACAAGGGCTCCTCTTTGTCCATGATGGCCTCGCACATCCGCTTGTACTTGGGGCATCTGGCTAGGGGTCCCTGCTCTAACACTGTCCCTAATCCGACAATGCCTCTGCCTTCCTCCCTACCTGGCCAGAGCTGAATGCCTCACCCTGCATCAGCCCCTCAGTGTCTTCAGCTCCGGGCTCACCCTCCAGTCCTGCATATCCCAGGGATATTGGCAAGAGTGGCAGGAGGGCAAGAGGGCAGATGCAGCCTGGCCCACTCAAGCTGTCTTCCAACTGTGCTCCATTCCAACACGCCAAAATTCAGAAGATGAGAAGCTACAGTTCTCAGACTCCCTTGCAGCTAGGGCTCCAGATGTGGTTTCAGGTCGCCAATTTAGATGCACCTGCATGAGACTTGAACTTGGAGCTGAGTCATGTGAGGAGAGGCAGGGTGTGGGGCACCTGTTTTCCAGGTAGGGAGAATGGCAGAAGCAGTGTGGTTTTGGAGCCAGCAACAATAGCCGCAACTTCCTGATGTGGTGGTTCCTTACTGTGGCAGACACGGTGTGGCTCTGGAGCCATCAGCTGTGGGAAGCTTCTAGACTCTGTAGCTTCCTGACTGAGGAGAGGCAACGGCTCTCTTAGCAGGCCAGTTCCACATTAAGGCTTTGTGAATTGCTCCTGGAAGTTCAACCTAGAGTCTGTTTCATCAGCCCTCCCGACAATTCTGTAAACTAATACCAGTAATAAATCCCTTTCTGCTTAGACTAGCTGCAGAGGAGCAGCGCTGCCTGATGAAGCCAGAGTGGCGCAGGGAGTCGGGACTGCAGGCCGGAGCTCGCCTGCCTGCACACTGTCTCAGCCGGGGGCAGGTGGGAGCAGCTTCAGGGACCCAGGAGATACGCCCTCAGGGGAGCCCCGGACTTCTGCGGCACTGATCTTCAGAAGGTTTGTGGGGACAGCTGGACACTGGCAACAGCTTTGAGGAAGCCTCCGCGGTGAGTGGGGGCTACAGGGATGCAGCTGACGGGGCTGTGGCAGCAGGAGGGACCCCAAGACCAGGGGGAGCCCAGGCAAAGGACGGGACTCAGCTGGGCAGGGAGGAAGGGGTTCTTAGCTGCAGGTGACAGAATCCCATGATTCTTGTTTAAGCCAAAGGGGATTTATCAAGGGGCATAGGTAGCTCACAGCAGTACCGGGATCCAATAAACAGATCGAGCTTCCAGGAGCGAATCCCAGCGCCACACCCGGCACCGGGCCGCCAGGAGGCTGCTGCCTCTGCTGCCTGCGGAAGCTGAAGGCCGGGAGCTGCCGCCGCGCACCTGCGCCAAGACCGGCTCCAGTAAGCACACACCTCTGTCCTCCCTCCCCTCACAGCTCAGGTCCAAAGTCTCTTGCTCCAGGTTGGCACAGTCCCAATTGGAACTCGCGGGAGTCCGGGACGCGTAGTTTCAGCTGCGCAGCCTCCCCGCGCAGAGAAGGGAGCCCAGGAGAGGAGAGCGGGAGCGGGCGCTGCACCAGCCGGCGACATGCGTCCACCCATGCTCCTTCCACGTCTCCTCTGCCGGGGCCGGGGATCAGCCAGACCCTGGCGCACGGCCCTCAGTGTGGCTCTAGCAGTGGCCCTATGTACTGCGGCCACATGAGGGCCCTGGAGGCCAAACCCACCTGCCCGGCTTCTGAGCTACCACCCACAACTACCTCCAAGTGGTGTAAACAGAAAGTTTATTATGGGATGTGTGGCAAGTCACAGAGTCACTTGGGAGGGCCAGAGACGCAGGTTTGGCAGCTGTATAACAAAGAAGACCATCCACAATCTCGCTGCAGAGCCAGACCGCAGAGACTGCTCTGCTGCGGCACAGCCCGAGCACCCCCTCTCGCCCCACTGTGGCTCAGGCTACGACACGAAGGCCTGTGCCACCACGATCCCTGGGGAGCTGGCATGCCTGTGGCCACCTGGCCCCAGCAGACCACTCCGGTGCCCACCTCTCAGGCCACAGCTTCCCCTTGGCGGAATGTGGGTTCATGACTCTCCCCAGCCACAGGGGCGTCTAGGAAAGCAGGTGTTGGGCTTTCACAATGGGAGACAGAGACTTACGGGGTGAGTGGGAGGTTCCCCCAACTTCTTAGGGTCTGAGTGACCAAAGAGAATGACGAGTGCCACTTCCAAACCCCCAAAGCCTAGAGCGGATAGGGGCTGAACAAGACACTTGGCTGCTGGGGTATGGGTGGGGCCGCTGCAGCCCCCCACGATTGCACCCCTCCCGGCCCTTCTCTGCTCCCAGCGCCAGCACACTGCCTGGCACCTCGTGGGTGTTGGCGAAATGTTTGTGCCTGGAGCGGAGCCGCCTGCGTAGCTAATATGCCTGGCTCCGGAAACGTGCGGGCGTCTGCCTGGCAGCGGCGCCCAGCCTGCGTTCCATCCAGAGATGCTGTGGGGTGAGAAGACCGCGCCTTAGCAAGCTTCCTGCTAACTGTCACGGTGACCCTAGCGACTGGAGATGGTTCTGATGCCCGGGGAGGAGAGGGCGAGGACACAGCAGCACAATAGAATCGCAGCTGCCGTCTGTCTGCCCGCACGGCTCGGCGGCCGTGTACACCAGCTGGAGGCGGCTGGTTTGCGTCTGCCTCCTCCACCTACTCACCTGGGCAAGGTGCCCAGCCACCCTGCGCCTCAACTTCCCCACCCCTAAAATGGGGATGACGACAGCAGCAAAGTCGGCATGAGACATCAGGTGTGAGCCGGAGTGACGGCGCCTCCTGAGGCAGAGCTGAGCGCGGCTGCCCGTCTGGAGGTCAGCGCAGGGGCGGCTCTCAGCCGGGGCTCACCTGCCACCTGGCAGCTGGCGAGTGGCAGAAGTGGGGGTTGAACCCAGGTTTGTCTGACTGCAGCCTCTTACCCCAAGCCCAAGAAGGAGGGGGGAGCTCGAGCAGTGCCAGCGCGCCCACGTGCCCGCCCTGCTGGGCCGAGGAGCCCGCGGGAAGGGCTGCAGGCCACAGGCTGTGAGTGACGAGGCAGGAGCTGCAGCCCAGCCTGGCACCAGGGTGGCTTCCTGGGGGGGTGGCATGGGCTGAGCTCTTGGTTAAATTCATTTTATTGGGGGTATGACTCATGAATAATAAAACACAGCATTCTAAGTGAACAGCAGGATGGATTTTGACAAATGTACGCACCTGTGTAATCACCACTCCAAGACGTGGGGCGTTCCCGTCACCCCTAGAAAGTTCCCTCCAGAAAGCCCCTTGTGCCCCTTTCCAGTCAGAATCCCAGCTCCCACCCACTGAGGGCTGAGCTTGAAAGGGGAGAGTGGAATAAAAGATGAGCGGCTCCCTCCCCATGCCCCCTCCTTTAGGCTCCAACTGGGGAAGGGGGTCCCCGAAACCAGCCCACAGCTGCAGGCTGGCTGTGAGCCCTCCCGGGACTGAGGGACGGTGGCCGCACTTCCCTCCAGGGCCTGGCCTCTGGCTCACCGGGGCCGAGGACCCCTGCACCCTGGCTCTGGCCCACGGAGCTGCCAGCTTGCCTGTGCCTACCAGCCTGGGGGCTCCGGGAGGACAGGAGGTGCCTATAGGACCAGGGGGTGAGTGGCAAGTTCTGAGCAGTGGATCCAGGTGTGGAGGGGCCTTAGGAGGGCAGGGAAATGCGAGGCACTTCTGCTCCACCCCTGCTCCCGCCACCAGGCCAGACCCCCTTCCCAGCCACCTAGCGGTGGGCGGCCTGGGGCTGGTCTCTGTACCCCGTGGGAGACATTCCTGGGCCTGGGGCAAGATAGGGGATGGGCAGGAAGCCTCACCAGTGCCAAGAGCACAGGACTGGCCTCTCCCCTCTGCCACTGACTAGCTGTGAGCTTGGGAGCCAGCAACCCCCACTCCCTCCTTAACCTCAACCGTTTCATTTGGAAGTGCTTCTAAGGGTCTAACCTGCAACCCTCCAGCTCTTGCAAAATCCACGACCAACAGCTGCCTCCAGGCTGAGAGCCCAGGCAGTGGAGCCAAGACCCGCCCTGGGCCCACCAGGAAGCCAGGCCCGGAGAGGCAGCTGGGTGTAGCTGGGTGCTGTCGATGGGCTGCTGATGGCGTCCGGAGGCCAGGGGTGGATGAATGCCTCATAAAGCCAGAGCCACCGTGCACTGCTCATCCTGCGTGTGTCGTAAGAGGGAGAGTGCTGGGGCAGCTCGAGGGGTGTGGCGGCACACCGGAAGGACCGTTTCCTCCCACTCCCACGCCCAGCCCTGGCCTGGGCCCAGGTGGGGCTCAGCCCCTTGCTTGCCCTCCCTGGTCTTGGCAACACTTATGGACTAGGGGAAGGTTAAATACCCATGAGGCATCTGCCAGGGCGCAGCGCAACGCCAGGCAGCCAGGGCACGCAGGGCTGGGGACTGCGCCCTGCCACAGGAGCCCCTTCCAGCCACAGGCAGCCAGCCTGCTGAGCCGGCAGGGCGCTGCAGGGTGGCACTTGCCTGTCACCGCCCGCCCTCCCTCACACGGGGCTTCCCCCAGCCCAGCACCTGTCCAAGGCAGCTCCAGGCCCCCGGGGCTTGGTCAGAGCAGAGGGAAGAGGTGGCAGGCCTTGTCCGAAAAGAGTCATCCTCACACCTGAGCCTCTTCAGCTGCCTCCCCAAGCCCTCAGAACTTGCACGGGGCACTTTCACTGCAGCCTCGGAGGCCGCACCAGCCGTGGGCGAGTCTACCCACTAGACACACCCTCCCTCCTTGCAGCCCTGACAGCAAGCAGGTGTAGCTCTGCGGGTGAGGCGGCCCGTGCCCACTGCTGTGCCTGTGGTGTCTGGCCTGGTCAGAGAGCTGGGCGGGGTCTCTCCTGCTCAGGCCCAGATCCTCCCCTCCTGCAGGGATGGCCTCTGGCCCCAGGTGCCACCTCAGCCAGGGAGCATCCGAAGCCCGGGCTGGGGCCCCCAGCTCGTCCTCACCCGTCAGGCTGAGCCGGGAGGAGCGTCCACCCCCAGCTGTGCACACAGCAAGGCCTCCTCCAGCCCGGACGGAAGGGAGGGTGGGGACCAGGAGGGAGCAGTGAGCACAGGGCACAGCCTGGGGCCAGGGAGGCGGGGGGGCTGTTCTGGGGACTCCCCCTGCTTCGTCCCCCGCCTGCTACCACCATGTCCATTTCCCAGCAGCCTTCAGTTACAGAAACTGAGGACACTTGCGGGGGGCGGGGCAGGCACCACCCTAGGCCTCCTCCCTGGGACTTCTTGCCCATCGCCGCCTCTCTCCTCCCTGCCTATGTCTGTAAAATGGGCACTGTGGGCTCGGTCAGCTCTAGGGCCCTTCCTGATTCCCCTGGGCTTCCTCCCTCAGAGTACTGCGTCCTCCCAGCCCCGCCTGGAGTGCATCGCCTCTAGCCAGCTGTGCCCCCAGGCAGGATTGCAGCCTCTCTGGCCTGCTCACACCTAGCACAACACTTGCCCTGTTGACCTCCTGAGGGCTAAATGTTATCGGGGATGGGAAAGGGCCTTGAGCCATAAAGCTCCTGCAGATGCGTGGTAAGCTTACATAATTCCGGGTCCTCACAGTGACAGCCCTGCTCTGTCCCGTCGGCTGGTCCCTTGGCTGGCCCCATGTGGTTTCATATCTGAATGGCATCAGGCAGGGCATGCACTGTCCAGTCTGGCCCAGGCCTCCCCTGCCTACCTCCCAGCCTGGCCAGCTGTGCCTGACATCCACCTTGGGGTCTGGCCCTGAGTGTCCTCACTCCCAACTGGAAGCTCCTGGCTCCTGTGTGGGCGACCACAGAGCTGGAGCGCACAGCTGGCAGGGCCAGCCCGACCCACCCCAGCCGGCTGCTCTGCCGCCTGCCCTCCCAGCGTCTAGTGCCTCGCCCCGGGCCGAGGGTAGGAAGGGGCCCGAGGTGCTGCCTCCAGCCACGGCTTGTGACAAATTGCTTCTGTGGGCTCTGAAGTGCATGCATCATTTTCCCTCCTCCCATTTAGAAATGTGCAGAGTCTGCCCCAGCCTGGCCTCCTCCTCAAATCTATACCCTGCCTGTGCTCCCCAGACCTTAAAGAATATTTAACCACCTGTTAAATGATTTATCCCATTGAGGCTCCAGAGCTCAGGGCATCTCACAGGCCTCCTCGAGAATTAACTAGAGCCATAAATCAAAAAGACGTTTGAGAAATTTCCAGCCGCCTCCGACAGCAGGCATCGGCTCGGGCCGGGACAGAGGAAATGGCATTTAGACGGGGAAGTGGCATTTAGGGTGGAGAGGCAAGAGGCTGGCTGGGAGCTGCCCCCAGACCTCTCAGAAGCGGGTGGTGGGCCAAGGACATTGAGCTTCCAGAGGGCTCCGTGGGGAGGCAGCCTCAAGCACGTCCTCTCCGCTCTGTGCGTCAAACACAGGCAGCACCCCAACTCCCCCCGTGGGCAGCACCCCAACTCCCCCACCCCGTGGGTAGCACCCCAACTCCCCCCACAGGCAGTGCCCCAACTCTCCCCCCCTTGGGTATCACCTCAACACCCCCCCTGCAGGCAGCACCCCAACTCCCCCCCCCACAGGCAGCACCGCAACTGCCCCCCCATGGGTATCGCCTCAACTCCCCCCCTGCAGGCAGCGCCCCAACTGCCCCCCCATGGGTAGCGCCCCAACTCCCCCCCCCAGGCAATGCCCCAACTCTCCCCCCATGGGTAGCACCCCAACTCCCCCACCCCGCAGGCAGTGCCCCAACTCCCCCACCCCGCAGGCAGCGCCCCAACTCTCCCCCCCTTGGGTAGCGCCCCAATTCCCCCAGCCCCGCAGGCAGCGCCCCGACTCCCCAGAGCCTTCTGCAGCTGGCAGAGAGCTCCTGCCTGCTGTCTCGTGGGACGCAGTGCACGATGCAGTGGGCCTAGGGGCAGGCGCCCAGGCATCTGCCCGAGGCAGGGCCATTCTTGACTTGTGGCCACCCAAGAGTGGACAAATGTGGCTGGACACAGGGGCTGGACAGGGACTTTGGTCAAGGCACAGTGGCAAAAGGGAACCAGGTGAGGCTGTGTTCAGATTCTGGGTTTGGGGAGGGAGGGAGGCCAGGAGAAGCTGACACTGAGCACGAGACAGGTGCTAAACCCAGACCAAGTGGCAGAGCTGAACCCCTCAAATCCCACAAGAACCTAAGGAGGTATGTAGTTTTTCAAACCCCATTTTATAGATGAGCCAAATGAGTCACACAGCCAGCAATTGTCAGAGCCAAGAATTGAACCTAGATTAGTCTGGCTTCAAATCCTGTGTTTTTCTTCTTCACTGTCAGATCTGCTAAATTTTATCAGGCAGTTGGCAGTGCAGCCAGCACTCCGCTAAGGGCAGTACCCGCATTGTCTTCCAAAATTCTTCCAACAGCCCAGGAGGGTGGTTCTCCTGTTCTCCCTATTTTACAGATGAAGAAATTGAGGCCTCCAACCCTCAGCTCTAAGGAGCCGTGTTGGGGCTCAGAGCCCAGCAGTCTGACCCAGAGTCTCTCTGCACCTCCCTCCCAGTACACTCTCCTGCCTTTGCAGACCCAAGCTAGGGGCTCCTCGCGGAAGGCTTGGTGGCAACACTTTCTAGGCAAGAGTGAGGCAGCTGAGCCATCAGAGCCTGTCTTGGAGGGAGAGAATTCCGCACAGAGGGGCTTAAACCCGACTCTCAGACACCAGGCTAGCAGGCAGAGTGCTGAGCGAGGACCTCAAAGAGTCCCTTGGGGGTCCACGGGCCCCATGCCCCTCAGTGGCCCAGGTCCCAGCCACTACTGCTGCAGGGCACAGGGTCTGGGCCATGGTCTAGACTCCTCTCCTTCCAGGAGGCTCCTTAGGGAAGTACGTGCACGGATGGCTCTCTGGCGCGGTGAGGGTCGCCCTGAGCCTCCCTCTCCCTTCCTCTCCTTCCTGACGCAAAGGCCCTGGCGCGGTGAGGGCCCCCCTGTGCGGCTGGGATGCTGGGTCCTGTGGAAAGATGCTGCCTCTCCAAGGAGAGCCATGTCCTCCAGTACCCATCCTTTGTCTCCGTGACACTTGCAATGTCCTGGAAATGCCGACACTGGGTACCCAGATTCTTTCTCCCACAAGACTTCACCCCAAAAGCAGAACAAAAATCCTTTTTTGGTTCAGGAGCCCAGTTTGTGGTGTGAGAAATCTTGAATTTGGGAGGAGGGCCATAAAAGGCCTGCTGGAACCAGCA